AATTGCTTTTATTTATTAAAAGCATCTCTTTTGTTTTAACATATTTAGACCATAGTGTCATATAACAGTGGTCATTTGACTATTATATTTTTGTTTTCTGCTCCATAAGGTGACATTTTAGATCTTGACATCAATCGGCCATGGGAATTCCTTCCAACCTTCCCATGCAGAACAGTTGTTACCCCTCTACTAACATCTGGGGCTGCATTCTGGATTATTAAATTGTTACATCACCTGGATTTTAAGGTTACTTCCGCATGTGGCTATGTTCTTCTAGTTCTTCCCAGACTGCTCATAACACTCCTGTCCTTCATATTGGATTATACAGTGTTCCATATAGCACCTGCATGGGGATCAAATCGTTGGAATGCTATGATTCTTCTAGCTGGATCTTATGTCACTCTCGTTTTCTACACAAGGACAATCAGCAATGCTATGGAAGGAATTTTCCTTTCTGTAATCCTCCTATTGACATCTCCTGAAAAGATCCACAAGGCCAAGTCCCATCATTTTATTGGCATCATCCTGGCTGCTGGAATTTTTAACAGACCCACATTTGCTGCTTTTGCACTTGTTCCAGTTCTTTTCTGGGCTGGGAAAACTAAAGACTGCTGTTTCTCTTATCAGTCGTTTGTCACCAACGTATTAAAGCTGCTGCCAAGCTCATTTTCAACCTCTATCATTTTCATTTCTGCTGATACCTTGTGGTACAAAGGATGGCTTACATTTACTACACAAAGCTCCATGGAACAGTTATTCCAGAAGACAGTGTTAACACCTCTTAACTTCCTGAAATACAACCTAAACCCGGACAATCTCGCTCAGCATGGAACTCATCCTCCAATAACCCATGTAGTTGTCAATGGTGTGGTCCTTTTTGGTATTCTTCATGTGTCTGTTGTATTTATATTCTTAAAAATGCTGAAAAGGTCCATCATGAAATTATTCCCCAAAAGTCAGTGTAACAATAATCAAAACAAAGAAGGTATTCCCCAACATACCAGTTTATTGTTTCTCATTTATTTTGTCCCTCTAATACTACTTTCACTAGTTGGCCACCAAGAGCCCCGTTTCCTAATTCCACTTCTGTTACCTGTGGTCTTGTTGTACTCTACGTGCTACAGAATAGGAAAGATGACTTGTGCTATTGCCTTATTTAATATTATTGGGGCTCTTTTCTTTGGCTTTCTGCACCAGGGTGGATTAATTCCCAGTTTGTTTCACATACAGCAAATTGTACAATCAAAACCCACCCCTGGTGAGTCCTTGAATCATTACACCATCCTCTTCACTCACACATACATGCCTCCTAAACACCTGCTCTGCTTAAACAGAGGCCAAACACATACGGATGTTGTTGATCTTGCCGGGTTTGATGAATCCCAGCTGTGCCAAAAAATCATAGATATTAAAAAAGACCTTTCACGTGAAAATGTTCTGCCAAACAAGAACAGGCATCATTTTTTAATTGTATTTCCTGGCACCATAGCTGAAGTGGTAGAAAATTGTGGATTAGTTTTTACAGGTGGAGTTTTATTTGCCCCACATGTATCTATGGAAGACCCACCCACATTATTACAGCTGCTTGGAGGCAATATAAAAAATTATTTAGGGTTGCATGTAAGAGAGATAGATGTGTAAATATTAAATATAGGTATGATCGAAGAGATATTCTAAGCAGAATAAGCACAATTTATTATAGTGGTTATGATGCTTAAGTTTATGGTGGCAGACCTTTTTTTACATTTTTTTTTTACATTTTTAAGTATTTTAACAACAAATAGGAGATTCCCATCACTCTAAGCCCCCCTATCAGCTGTGGCTGTAATAATTAATATTTTCACACTGTACACGCTGTATTTTTTTTATTTTTTTATCTTTTGACAAAAGAAACAAAAACAGGACTGCACCCATTACCTAAAAGCATCATAACTACTACAAGAAGCTGTAGTGTTCATGGTGTTTATAGTGTTCCTTTAAAGGACACTGTAAGCATGAAACCCACTACATCATAATTTAGTGGTTTTGATGCATTAATGCTTACCCTTTTGTCTGGTAATGTAAAACATTGCATAAAACAGACAGCCATTACAGGCCCTTCCACCATAAGATCTTAGGTTTTTAAAGGTATTCACATTTGTCGTGATAACATGCAGCATGATAACCCTGAATGCAGCTAATGTGTCTCACAGAGACGCCTTGAATTGGAGGAGAGCACTGATTGCCACACCTGCATCTTATGTCCCCAATACTTCTCTATGAAAAGCATTAGGGATGTGCATGGGCAATAAATTTGGTTTGGGTCGGACTTCTGAAATTCGGGACTTTGGTAATTCGGTTCGGCACTTGTGAAATTTGGGACTTTGGCAATTCGGCACTCCTGAAATTTGGGACTTTGGCAATTCGGGAATTCAGCGGTTCTCTACCCTAACCCTCACCCTACCCCAAATGTCCGAAATTCATGCCGAAACGAATTGCACATGTCTAAAAAGCATTGGATTGATCAAAAGTTATCAGAACTGATAATTTCATCAAAAGGGAGAGGTTGCAGTGATGGGACTATGCCACATGAGTTTAGGTAAGATTAATGGATTATTATTTTTTTTCTTTACAAAAAACAAAGGCAAGTGACCGTAATCTGAACTAAAGACGGAGCACTGTAATATTAAATATTAATACAGTGTTCCTTTAAAACTGTTGACATAATGTTCTCTTAAGTTGTTAACGTTGTATGCAGAAGACAATTGACAAATTGACTTGGAAATAGCAGTGTGGTCATTATGCAAACTGCCAACACCAGCAATATTTAAACTACTTGCCAGGTGCAGTAATAAAGGGCAGACAATCATTAAACCACAGTCATGCAGCACACCCTCACCACACACATTTTGTGTTTATATATTTTTTTGATCTATCTTATTTTATATTTTCAGTAGAAGAACTTGTTAGACTCATTCATTGACGGAGCATGCTCAGCGGA